GGTTCTGCTCCATGATACCCGCGAGGACTTTAGCACCCTCGTCCCCGATGGTGTTCCCTGAGAGGTTGAGCGTCTTGAGATACGCGTTCGTGGCTAGAGCTTCTGTGAGGGCCTTCACTCCCTCGGGGCCAATCCCATTGTTGGAAAAGTCCACACTCTCAACACTCTGTTCAGGAGGGGGTGGAGAGGGGGGAGAGGTTGAGCGTCTTGAGATACGCGTTCGTCGCCAGGGCTTCCATCAAAGCCTTCACCCCCTCTGGGCCAATCCCATTGTTGGAGAAATCGACGCTTTCAACACTCTGTCGGGGTGGGGGGAGAGGAGGGGAAGGAACAGCGGGATAGGGAAGGGGAAGAGGCAGGGGGAAGGGAAGGGAAGGGGAAGGGGAAGGGGAAGGGGAAGGGGAAGGGGGAAGGGAAGGGAAGGGGAAGGGGAAGGGGAAGGGGAAGGGGAAGGGGACGAGGAAGGGGAAGGGGAAGGGGAAGGGGAAGGGGAAGGGGAAGGGGAAGGGGAAGGGGAAGGGGAAGGGGGGTGCAGTGGGTTGAGCTGAGAGAGAGGGGTTTGCACGCCCCGGTTGGTTCTGCTGATGCCTGTCATCACCTTGGCTCTCGTCCCCTATGGTGTTTTTCTCCGAGAGGACTGAACGCCTTGGCCCCGGACCCCAGTTCTGCGCCATAATGGCTGACAGTCTCATCTCCCGCTTGGCTATGTCTAGTTCAAGGTGACTTCTAAGTCGACTCAGAAGTTTGGAATTCCCCGAAACGGCTGAACGACTTGGCCCCAGGTCCCGTTCTGCGCCATAATGGCTGCCAGTTTCATCTCCCTCTTGTTTGTGTCTGGTTCTCAGGCTACAGGCTCACACTGAACAGGGTCACTGGCAGAAGCTCTAGCTATTCAAGATTCCAAAAAAAAGCAGGAGATCGCTTTATAACGGGGATATGAATAGTTAAGATTAGCTCACATTGTTGAAGGCGAGAGATTCTGCGAGATATTTGAACCCCTCGTCGCCCAGACTCTTGCCTGCAGTGGCGGAGGGTAAGGGGGGAGGGGGAAAGGGTGGGGGGATGGGGGAGGGCAAAAGCAAAATAATTACTTGCCAGTCGACACTCCTGCTTGGCTTCCTAACTAAACCTCCGTGCCCAGCAAACAGCCTCGTTTTCTTTACCACGAGAAATGCAGATACGACGAAATGCAGGTGCGACGAAATGCGGGGTAGCGATGAAGCAAGATCAACGGCTCTTGAACGTACCGCTGAGATCGACGGTCCTGAATGACCGAAGCTGCTGCGCTAACTCCTTAACTTTCGCCATCGACTGCTGCCGCCACTTGCGCTGCTTCTCCTTGTCGTCACCCGCACTAAACGACGAACTCTTGCTACCCGCACCCTCCTCTTCCTCGTCACTATCCCCGCTACTGCCGATCCCGCCACGCGCTAGGAACCGCGAAACTCCCCAGATTCCCGCGCCGACAGCCAATAGCATCGCGCCGATGCCTATTAACTCCGTGTCGATTTCAACTCCCGCGTTAGAAGCACTCCCGCGTCGCCCTCCTGACGCTTCTTGCACGGAAGAAGAGTATTGTCGCGACCGCCGCGCCGCGGACCGGCGGGTAGACGACGACGCGCCGCTTCCGCTTCCGCCATCGTCGCCGGACGCTCTAACGGTAACATTTGATGCGCCTCGAGACGAGGCTCGGAGGCTTGGGGATAGGACACGTGGCAGCTTAAGAGGCGACCAGAGAGGAGAAGGGGGGGTCCATGGGGAGGAGGGACAAATGGGGAGGGGAGTGTGGGGAACGGGGTGTAGGAGGCGGGAGCCGCGGTGGAGTGTGGTGGGATGCGGTGCTGCTGTGAGTGACTGCATTGCGACGACGCCTGGTCCTGGTAAACACGGGACTAAGAAAACTTCTGAGTCGACTCAAGTAACGCAGGACTAGGAAAACTGTTGTACCAGCGAGTTAATCGTCAGGCGACGGTGATTTAACCACTGAGAACTTTCAAAAGTGCTTAAAGCTCGCGTCTCATATTTACAAACGTTTAACACTTGGTTGGGAAACTACGAACATGATTGGTTCACGAGTGACGAATTTTTTCACGAGCGGAGGAAATATATGGGCGAAGTTGTGAAGAACTGAGGCCAAAACCACACCTCAGGGGCAGGTTTGGATCACGTCCGCACCTTGTAGGACAGGTTTGGCGTGAGTGTACTGTACTTTGTGCGACCAACCCTGACGACGGAAACACCGATTGTGCAAGGGAGAGAAGTGGCAGGGAAAAACGAAGTGCCATCACGCGCTCTCCGGCTATACATCCTTACACGTAGTCATAACAATACCACTGCATTAGTAAGCAATCTTCTGTCCAAAGGCGTGAAGAAAGTGAAACATGTAACTGTGGGGAGCAGCAGTAGCGCACCCTCTTGCGTATGCCCGTGATTAGGTTATAGCCGTCACATTCCCGCCACCCTATCGCCGCTTCCCGCCACCCGTCTCCCCTGTTCGCCGCCCAATCTCCCGTGCTCGCCGCCCGATCTCCCCTTCCCGCGGCCCGATCTCCCCTTCCTGCCGCCCGATATCCCCTTCCCGCATCCTCTCGCCTTTCCGCGTAGCCTCCTCTCGCCTCTCCGCGCGGCCTCCTCTCGCCTCTCCGCGCGGCCTCCTCTCGTCTCTCCGCGCGGCCTCCTCTCGCCTCTCCGCGCGGCCTCCTCTCACCTCTCCGCGCGGCCTCCTCTCGCCTCCCCGCGCCGTCTCCTCTCGCCTCCCCGCGCGGCCTCCTCTCGCCTCTCCGCGCGGCCTCCTCTCGCCTCCTCTCGCCACTCCGCGCGGCCTCCTCTCGCCTCTCCGCGCGGCCTCCTCTCGCCTCTCCGCGCGGCCTCCTCTCGCCTCCCCGCGCGGCCTCCTCTCGCCTCTCCGCGCGGCCTCCTCTCCCCTCCCTTTGCCCTCGCTACCCCCTCCCATCGCCATCGCTTCCCCCTCCCGTCGCCCTCGCTTCCCCCTCCCATCGCCCTCGCTTCCCCCTCCCATCGCCCTCGCTTCCCCCTCCCATCGCCCTCGCTTCCCCCTCCCATCGCCCTCGCTTCCCCCTCCCATCGCCCTCGCTTCCCCCTCCCGTCGCCCTCGCTTCCCCCTCCCTTTGCCCTCGCTTCCCCCTCCCATCGCCATCGCTTCCCCCTCCCATCGCCCTTGCTTCCCCCTCCCGTCGCCCTTGCTTCCCCCTCCCGTCGCCCTCGCTTCCCCCGCCCATCGCTAGTCCACTTGCGCCATCTGTCAGCGTGGGGCAGCAGCACCACCAACGCCTCCTCCTCTCACCTCCTTGCCTTCCTCTTCCCCCTCTCCCCCCCAAACCCCCACCCACTCTTCCCCTGCAGTTGCTGGTTCACTTGCGCCATCTGTCAGTGTGGGGCAGCAGCATCACCAACGCCTCTGCGCCGCTGCTCCCTTTTCCCCCACTCCCACCATCCTCTTTCCACCCCCGCCTCTCCCCCTTCGCCTGCAGTCGCTCGTTCACTTGCGCCATCTGTCAGTGTGGGGCAGCAGCATCACCAACGCCTCTGCGCCGCTGCTCCCCTTCCCCCACTCCCACCATCCTCTTTCCACCCCCGCCTCTCCCCCTTCCCCTGCAGTCGCTCGTTCACTTGCGCCATCTGTCAGTGTGGGGCAGCAGCATCACCAACGCCTCTGCGCCGCTGCTCCCTTTTCCCCCACTCCCACCATCCTCTTTCCACCCCCGCCTCTCCCCCTTCCCCTGCAGTCGCTCGTTCACTTGCGCCATCTGTCAGTGTGGGGCAGCAGCATCACCAACGCCTCTGCGCCGCTGCTCCCTTTTCCCCCACTCCCACCATCCTCTTTCCACCCCCGCCTCTCCCCCTTCGCCTGCAGTCGCTCGTTCACTTGCGCCATCTGTCAGTGTGGGGCAGCAGCATCACCAGCGCCTCTGCCTCGCTGCTCCTCGCCTTCCCCCGCCTGCTCTCCGCCAACCTCGCCTGGACTGCCCTCTCCCACCTCCCCGCCCACCCCTCCCTCACCGCCCTCCACCTCTCCCACTGCCCCCTGCTTTCCATTGGCTTCCCTCTCCCCTCCTCCTCATCCTCTCCCTCCGCCTCCTCTCCTTCCTCCTCTCACTCCTCCTCCTCTTCCTCCTTCCCCCTCACTCATCTGGTTCTCTCTGGTGCCTCAATCGCTCCTCCCTCCTCCCTCTTCCCTCCTCACCTCCTCGCCTTCCTCACTCACCTCACCTCGACCCCTCCACTGCTGCTGTCCCTGACGCCCTTCTGTTACACCTCGCCCACTCCCTTCCCCACACGGTACGTTAGCTCCTCACCACTCTCCCTCACACACCTTGATCTCTCTGGCTGACTCTGTTTCCCCTGCTCATTCTCTTCCCCTCGGCTCACTCTGTTTGGCCTGCTCATTCTCTTTCCCCCGGCTCACTCTGTTTGGCCTGCTCATTCTCTTCCCCCCGGCTCACTCTGTTTCCCCTGCTCATTCTCTCCCCCCCGGCTCACTCTGTTTCCCCTGCTCCTTCACTTCCCCCCGGCTCGCTTTGTTTCTTCCTGTTCACTCTAATTTCCGCTACTCAGTCTGTTCCCCCTTTCACTCACCCCCATTTCCAGCCGCGCAGGGTACAGGTCCCAGCACCATGGCCCAGGGTTTATTGCATGCAGTGTAGCAGCCAAGAGTGGCCCAAAAACATTACATTTCTAGCTGTCTTCTTGGTGACATTAGTCAGTTGCAAAGTACTTCCTTTGTAGTGGTCATGTGCATGGCTGCTTCTGAGCAAAGTGTTTGTATTATAACAAAGCATCCAACATCAATATACGGCATGGCCAATCATTGTAGCACTCTCAAACAGTCAACACATCACCACAACCAGATGCATAGCAGACATGTATACAAACACAAACCAGGAAATAAGATGTGACATGGCTGTGCAGCAGGGAAGTATACAAGATAATGAGAAGGACAAGCAGCCAACACGGGAAATGATAACGCAAGGTCCCTCGATTTATGCATACAGTTGAAGAGGAACAGAAGAAGGGATGAAAAGAGGAAGGGTGGAAAAGAGGGAGGAACTGATGAAGGGAGGAACGGCGGGGGAGAAGAACACGACAGCACTCACCAGCACAGCACTCACCAGCACTGCACTCACCAGCACAGCACTCACCAGCACTGCACTCACCAGCACAGCACTCACCAGCACAGCACTCACCAGCACTGCACTCACCAGCACTGCACTCACCAGCACTGCACTCACCAGCACAGCACTCACCAGCACTGCACTCACCAGCACTGCACTCACCAGCACTGCACTCACCAGCACAGCACTCACCAGCACAGCACTCACCAGCACTGCACTCACCAGCACTGCACTCACCAGCACTGCACTCACCAGCACTGCACTCACCAGCACTGCACTCACCAGCACTGCACTCACCAGCACAGCACTCACCAGCACTGCACTCACCAGCACTGCACTCACCAGCACTGCACTCACCAGCACTGCACTCACCAGCACTGCACTCACCAGCACTGCACTCACCAGCACTGCACTCACCAGCACTGCACTCACCAGCACAGCACTCCACAGCACAGCACTCACCAGCACTGCACTCACCAGCGCTGCACTCACCAGCACTGCACTCACCAGCACAGCACTCACCAGCACAGCACTCACCAGCATTGCACTCACCAGCACAGCACTCACCAGCACTGCACTCACCAGCACAGCACTCACCAGCACTGCACTCACCAGCACTGCACTCACCAGCACTGCACTCACCAGCACAGCACTCACCAGCACAGCACTCACCAGCACTGCACTCACCAGCACTGCACTCACCAGCACTGCACTCACCAGCACAGCACTCACCAGCACTGCACTCACCAGCACTGCACTCACCAGCACAGCACTCACCAGCACTGCACTCACCAGCACTGCACTCACCAGCACAGCACTCACCAGCACTGCACTCACCAGCACTGCACTCACCAGCACTGCACTCACCAGCACTGCACTCACCAGCACAGCACTCACCAGCACAGCACTCACCAGCACAGCACTCACCAGCACTGCACTCACCAGCACTGCACTCACCAGCACTGCACTCACCAGCACAGCACTCACCAGCACAGTACTCACCAGCACTGCACTCACCAGCACTGCACTCACCAGCACAGCACTCACCAGCACAGCACTCACCAGCACTGCACTCACCAGCACAGCACTCACCAGCACCACCAGCACAGCACTCACCAGCACTGCACTCACCAGCACTGCACTCACCAGCACAGCACTCACCAGCACTGCACTCACCAGCACTGCACTCACCAGCACTGCACTCACCAGCACTGCACTCACCAGCACTGCACTCACCAGCACAGCACTCACCAGCACAGCACTCACCAGCACTGCACTCACCAGCACAGCACTCACCAGCACTGCACTCACCAGCACTGCACTCACCAGCACAGCACTCACCAGCACTGCACTCACCAGCACTGCACTCACCAGCACTGCACTCACCAGCACTGCACTCACCAGCACAGCACTCACCAGCACAGCACTCACCAGCACTGCACTCACCAGCACTGCACTCACCAGCACTGCACTCACCAGCACAGCACTCACCAGCACTGCACTCACCAGCACTGCACTCACCAGCACAGCACTCACCAGCACTGCACTCACCAGCACTGCAGGGTGGGTGAGTGAGCAGGGAGTGTGAGTGAGCAGGGTGTGTGAGTGAGAAGGGTGACAACTACAGCATTGACTATGGCAATCCCCCCTGTTGGCGCCCACTGCTGCTTCTGTGTCGGAGGTGTGTGGTATGCCACCACTTCCTTGAAGGCTGCTGCTGCCGCCCACAGAGGGCCAGAACAAGGGGGAAAACGGAGGGAAGGAGAAGGGGAAAGGGAGGGAGGGAGAAGGGTGTGAGAGAGGGACGGGTGTGAGAGAGGGATGGGTGTGAGAGAGGGACGGGTGTGAGAGAGGGACGGGTGTGAGAGAAGGACGGAAGTGAGAGAGGGACGGGATTGATTGAGGGAGCGAGAAAGCGCGGTGGCATCGTTCTCGCGTGAGGAGGGTGCGAGAGCAACGGGTGAGAATGCGGGACGACAGTGACTGCGGAACGGGTGGGATTGCTGCGTGCTACGAGGTGAGCGAGGAACGGAGCAGCGAGGAGAGGAACGGAGCAGCGAGGAGAGGAACGGAGCAGCGAGGAGAGGAACGGAGCAGCGAGGAAAGGAACGGAGCAGCGAGGAGAGGAACGGAGCAGCGAGGAGAGGAACGGAGCAGCGAGGAGAGGAACGGAGCAGCGAGGAAAGGAACGGAGCAGCGAGGAGAGGAACGGAGCAGCGAGGAGAGGAACGGAGCAGCGAGGAAAGGAACGGAGCAGCGAGGAGAGGAACGGAGCAGCGAGGAAAGGAACGGAGCAGCGAGGAGAGGAACGGGGCAGCGAGGAAAGGAACGGAGCAGCGAGGAAAGGAACGGAGCAGCGAGGAAAGGAACGGAGCAGCGAGGAGAGGAACGGAGCAGCGAGGAGAGGAACGGAGCAGCGAGGAGAGGAACGGAGCAGCGAGGAGAGGAACGGAGCAGCGAGGAGAGGAACGGAGCAGCGAGGAGAGGAACGGAGCAGCGAGGAGAGGAACGGAGCAGCGAGGAGAGGGGAAGGAGAGGGGGAACTGATGCGGAGCAGAAGGGGAAAGTATGGAAAGCACTGGGGGCATTCATGGGGAGCAAAAGGGGAAAATTTGGGGAGCAAAAGGCATTCTTGGGGAGCAAAAGGGCATTCATGGGGAGCAAAAGGGGTAAATTTGGGGAGCAAAAGGCATTCTTGGGGAGCAAAAGGGCATTCATGGGGAGCAAAAGGCATTCTTCCCCCTCCCTGCTCACCTACCTCCCCCTTATCACAGCACCTCCCTTCCCCCTCTCATCTCACCTCCCAACCACCTCTGACCTCACCTCCCTTTCCACTCCCTAAGCACCTCTCTTCCCCATCTCACATCACTTATTTCCCCCCTGCTAGCACCTCCATCCCCCCTAACTAAGAACCTCTCTTCCTCCTCCGAACTCACACACCTTTCCAACTCCCCTCACCTACCTTCACCGTCTGACCTCTCCTCTCTTCCCCCTCCCTAAGCACATTTTTTCCCCCTCTCACATCACATCCGTTTCCCTTATCTCAACACATCCCCCCCCCCCCCCTCTGAACTCACCTCCCTTCCCCCTCCCACAACACACACACCCTATCATGGCACCTCCATTCCCCCGTCTGACCTCACATCCCTCCCCCATTCCCTCTCATTCCGCCATTTTCCATCATTTCGCCTCTCATTCCGCCATTTTCCACCATTGCGCCTCTCATTCCGCCATTTACCACCATTTCGCCTCTTATTCCGCCATCTACCACCATTCCGCCTCCCCGCCAACTTCCACCATTCCGCGTCTCATTCCGCCCATCATTTCGCCTCTCTAACCGCCATCTAACGCCATTCCGCCACTAATTCCGCCATCTACCGCCATTCCGCCACTAATTCCGCCATCTACCGCCATTCCGCCAATAATTCCGCCATCCACCGCCATTCCGCCACTAATTCCGCCATCTACCGCCATTCCGCCAAAAATTCCGCCATCCACCGCCATTCCGCCACTAATTCCGCCATATACCACCATTCCGCCACTAATTCCGCATGGAATAAAACCGCAAATCCGTCGAGCTCACCTACTAAAGGCAGGGGAGGAGTGCGAGGCAACCCGGAATGGGGTATCACGATGCAGAATGTAAACGAAGTGATGTGGAGCGGGACTCAAAGAAGTGGGTTGTCTAAGTGCATAATGAGGTTCTTGGTGAATGACCTATGAGGACTTCTCTGTGATAGTATACGCTAGGACACGCGATAGTAAAGCGTAAAACACTTGAACGGGTGCAGGAACTACGCTCCTTGTGAGAATGGTAGAGTTGGGTGTCTCATATTTCCGACCCCTGTAAAATGCTTGGTCTGCACACGGGAGAGTGCGACACTCTGTTGTCGCAGCCTGTGGTTTCGTCGCGCAGGTGTGTCTCCCAGCCTGGTTTGGCGAAACCATACACTGAGTCACCCCACGTTGTTTGTACTGTACATTTGGTTTGCGGGGCCGACCCACATCCAACCAACCTTCCCAAACCTAACCCTTGCTTGGGGGTGTTATGCGACAAAACAGGCTGTTACCGGATCCCAAGCGTTTAACACTTGGTTGGAACGAAAAAATATGAGACGCGAGCTTTAACGATTTTGCTACGATCGACCAGTAGTAGTTAACGTTCGGTGACTGGCACGATCAATATTCTTGGCGTTCCCAAGCGTGGGGATATATCCCCTACACGTCCGAGACCTGACCCGCCAGGCCTAGGCTAAAATAATGCGGCAGAAGCGATTACAGAAATGAGATTCTTCAAAGAGGGATACGAAGAAAACCAGACCAGAAGGTAGGCATCGAGAGCTCCACTGACAACTAGAATCAGACTAGGAATCTAGACCAGAATCAAGGATCAGGTAACTCCTTGCATCAACAAATGTCTTCAGCTCTGACCAGCATTATCGAGTGAAGGTTGAACCTGGCGTAAGAATAAAGTGCACTGTCTAGGGATGACGGCTAACCTTGTTCTCGTAACGGATCATCTTTTTGTGCGGTGTTGTGCCTTGAACATGCCTAGCTGCTGAGCTGTAAGTCCCGTACTCGCCTAGAAAATCTGGCGTGGAGCGCTGATATATATTCGGGTTGCGCTGTCATGGATAATGCTGCTCGCTGACTGGCTGGCCATCTGGTACACGTTGTCACAATCTCCAATGTCCCATTGACAGGGCCATTTTTCGCCTCGCGACATACAATATAGTTCGCACATCTTGTAACGGGAAGACAAATGTACAAGTGAGTTAGTACACGAGCAGCAACTGCAACAAACAATAGCTCACATTACCATCTTCTCAGATCTCCATCTTGTCATCTGCACATGTGTAAATGTGACTGACAGAAAGCTCTGGCCCTCAATCAAGACAAACACCTTGGCTGAACCCTGAGTATCTACACTTCTTTCGGCATTGTCCTCTCCATATGTTGTCCTCCTAATCAGAGCCTGGGTCACCCCCCCCACATTCAGCTTGAACCTTGATAATTCCACATTCACCCCTCTACCCTTGACTCGTTGATTCACTATAAACACACTTACCGTTCGACTTCCCTTGTTGTAAAACGCAGCTACAGTATGCCGACATTCCCGGGGCACTGCTAAAGGTCGACTTCCTGGCCGTGCAAGGTCCGTTAACTGCTTGAACATCCAAAACCGTTTCAGCTTAGTAGCAGGTTCTATCGTGCCCGAATATCCAGGAGGATAAGACCAATTCAACCCAAACAGCGACCACGATTCATTCGGGTCGAAGACTTGCCAGTATACATACGCCGATGCTTCCAGAACGTTCACCGATTCAATCACATTCCGCATCATGTAGAGCGAGAGATCGTACGAGCTCCCGGCCTTGTTCAGCGGCCCAGATTCAGACACCCATACTTCCTTCCCTAGCGACTTTGCTAGCGCCTTCATTCTTGAGTAGGCCTTCTCAACCGCAGAAATACTCCCATTCCCCTCCCTCGTCACCGGCAGTGTATAACCGTGAACGTTTATACGATGCAGGTCGTCTTTCACGTGGAGCAGTGGTAACCAGACGGCCGTGAAGCCAGGATAGCTGTCCAAACCCACCATCTTCGTCTTGAGATTTCTCTTCCGAAGCAGTCGCACAGTTTTAGAAATTATCCGGCTCATTGTGGAAACGTTGAAGTTGCACCCCTCCTGCCCCATCCCCTTTATCCAGTACCCCTCTAACGCCTCGTTAAACGGCTCCAGTGTATCGAACTCGATGTTACCCAACGCCGGATCCGTTCTAAACCTTTCCACCACTTCCACCAAGTACCTCGCAAACCGCCCCTCATGCTTTCGCAGCAGGTTCGTCTGAAACGCCTTCTTCCCACCCGCAACGTCTTTACTCGCGGTCATCCACCAGGGCGGGCTGTTGGAAAACGCCTCGAACACGTTCACCCCGCGGGCCTTGGCTCCCAGCAGCACCGCCTGCTGCCTCGAATCCGCCGTCCAGTTGAACCCCGCTGCCTGCGCCGGCCAGTACCCCGGCATGGCCCGCCAGCGCAGCAGCGCGTCCGAGTGAAGCTGCGGACTGTACTGCGGGAGCGAGCCGCCGCCTATATTGAATCGCACTATATTGAGGTTGAGCCCCGAGGGGAGGAACATGAGGTCCAGCAGAGGGTCCATCGCCGCCTGGGGGAACCCGCCGATGTAGTTGCCCAGCCTGGGGGGCGGAAGGAGAGGGGGCGGGAAAAGTAGGAGGAAGGGGGGGTGGGAGGGTAGGTTGTTGGGGTAGGTAAAGGGAAAACAGAGGGTCCCTTGCCGCCTGGGGGAACCCGCCGATGTAGTTGCCCAGCCTCGTGTGGGGGGAAAAGCGGATGAGGGGGAGAGGAATGTTAGGGGGAAGGAAGGGGTGGGGTGTCGGGTGGGGGGTTTATAGGGAAAGTGAGGAATCTAGAGCGGACAAGAATAGTAAGTGTTGCCCAGCCTGGGGGTCGGGTGCGGAGACGGGAGGGGGGGATTAGTTGCGCGGGAGGGGAAACCGGGGACGAAGATTGCAGGTGGTTGAGACAGGTTGCATTATCACATCATTAAAAGCGAACAATCAAAGGCAACACATTCTCACCACGCGAGTGACGTGCCCCATCCCTTCCACTTCGTTCCGATTTGGCGTGGAGTAATTGTCACGAGGATCGGACCCTTACTGCTCGAGCACACTCCGAACCGTTCCCATGCCGGCTCGAGCGTCGGCGCCGGTGCTCGCTTCCTGCCGCCCGCCCATGCAGGCCTGCGTGAGTACGCAGAATCATGCCACACTGGGGGATAGCGCGAGATATTCCGGTGGAGATCGGTTCCGAATCGAGAGGCAGAGGCTGATGATTGTACGGAGGGTGACTGCACAGAGGGTGCTGCTGTGCTCGGTGCGTGTGCGTCACCCGAGGGGCGTAACCGTTCGATAAAAGCTACGGTTTGTTCGAACACGGACGAGCCTTCAGTGACCGTTGTGAATGTTGTTGAAGCTGAGAGCAGAAGCACAACGTGAAGGAGGACTGCTTGTAGCTGTAACATGCGGGGCGGGAATGGTACTACCCTAGGATGAAGTCTACGCAATGCAACAGAGTGCATTGTCAACGATAGTTGACAAAAAAACAGTAATCAGTAAATAATGACAGCAAATAATGCTGTTGACAGTGGATGGTGGATCAGTTATTGACTTCGCCGGGTAATAATCGGGAGTGCATTGTACGGGCGGGATGCACGGACAGCCCAAGTCAGACTGCAATAAGGAAGCACGTTATCTTAGTGATAGTCGCGAGGTGCGACAATGTCCTGGCTACGAAGAACTTGGTTCTTTGCTGGTAAGGATGGTGGGTGTGCTTGCCGTCCTTATTTATATGCGAACGAAGTGGTAGCTAGCGAATTTGTCGAGAATAGGTGGAAATTCCTCGTTTCGACTGCCAAGTGCCGCGTGATTCGTAGGAACCATGAAATTTCTGTTTTCGTCGGTCTCGCAGTTGTGGTTCGTCTGGGTTACCGACGTCGTCAATGTCGTGCTCTTGACATGCTGATAAGGCGGCTCGAACGTAGCGTGCGGAACATGTCTTGCATTCAGCAGAAGGATGCGGCGCGGTATACTATCAAAATACAAACCAGCTGTGCGATTATTGAAGTCGTACATATTCATAATTGAGAGATGCAAAGTCAGGCTTATCTAAATCGTGATTATTCAACCATATATATACATATACACTCATTGCTAGAGTTTATTGGCATGTTTGCTGAATGTTGATAAGACGACAGGGAAATATTATGAAGATTCTAAGATCCACTACAATACGTCATGTAATTGTTTATGTTACGAGTGCAATTGAGTGAACGAACGAGAATTCCACTATCTAAGCAAGAGTACAATGAGCGAAGGCATGAGCGAAGAATATACAGCGAAACTACAGTGGTAACGGTAATGGACTGCAGTTGTCGCGCGACGGGCCTGGGACTGAGGTTGGGAAAAAGTGTCGAAGCGGGGGCCAGGAGCGCGGGTTACCCGCCGAGCCGTGAGGTCGGGGTGCGATGTGCGAAGGTGGCGGGCGGATTGTCGATGCGAGGGTTGCGAGTGGTAACGGTGCTGACTGTGGTGCTACAGTGATGTACGCGTTGAGCAGGGATGCGAAGTAAGGAAAAGGAATTTTCCTTACACTACCCCCCCCTCCTAAGGAGGTCCTCCTTACGAAAGTGCGTATACATCCCTGAAATTTCGGCTGCGCAGATACTCGGTGAGGACGGGGTGGTTTTCGATTCTGTCCAGGGGAACCCAATCGTCTTCGGTAGGAGTACGGTCCTTCCAGCGGAGTAAGAACTCGATCCTTCGGGCTCCTCGAGGGTCGCGAACTCTGTGACTCAGGATTTTCTCGGGGGTGATTATTGGTTCAGTTGGTGGTCTTGTCATGCTGGTTGGGCGATTGCGTGGCAGTTGGCTCGTGGACGGGACGTAAGGGCGAAGTAGGCTGACGTGGAATGAGGGGCTGACGTACCAGTCAGCAGGGAGGAGGAGGTGGGCGGTGACGGGTGTAAGCATGTGGCTTATGCGAAATGGCCCGCAGTATCGGGGGCGGAGTTTCGGGGTGATGGGCAGTCGGAGGTTCTGAGTGTCAAGTAAAACTAAGTCGTCGAGCTGGTAAGTGACAGGTCTGCGATGGCGGTCGGCGTTGCGTTTAGCGATGATGTTTGATTTTTTTATTTCGTCTACTGCCCGGGTCCGTGCTGCTTGTAATATTTCGGCGAACTGTTGTGCTCGTGGTACTGGGTTGTCGGGATTCGGGGTCATGGGTACTGTCGGGTCTTGTCCGTGGTTTAGGTAAAATGATGACTGTTGGGTCGTGGCGGATGGCGAGTTGTTGTACGCGAATTCGATTAGTGGCAGTTGCTGTTCCCACGTGGTCGGGTCGTCACACGTGGCCCTGATGAGCTGTTCCATGGTCTGATTTGTCCGTTCTGTCTGTCCGTCGGTTTCGGGGTGGTATGATGAACTGAACTGCAATCGCGTGCCGAACTGCTGCCACAGGTTCCGCCAGAAGTTGCTGGTGAATTTCGTGTCGCGGTCGCTGATGATCGCGGCTGGTATCCCGTGTAGTCGAACGACGGTGGAGATGAAGAGGCGTGTTGTTTCTTCGGCTGTGATTGATTTTTTGCAGGCTGCGAAATGTGCCATTTTCGTCAGTCGATCGACGACGACCAGGATCGCGTCGTTCCCACTCGCCCCGGCTGGTAACCCCATGACGAAGTCCATCGTCACCTACTGCCAAGCACGCCCTGGGGGTGGTATCGGCTGCAACTGTCCCGCCGGCCGCTGTCGTGATGATTTCATGAGTTGACAAGTGGGACACGATGCCACGTGTCGTTGTACGTCGGTCAACATTTCGGGCCAGTAATAATACCGCTGCAGCTGCTGCCGTGTTTTTTAAACTCCGAAATGCCCCGAGGTAACTCCGTCGTGTGCCTCCTGTAACAGTAATTCCCGTAGCAGTGTATACCCAGGCACCCAAATGCGGTCAGTCCCGGTTTTTACGTAATCGACTCCCTTTGCTGCTGCGAACTGCTGGGAATTTCCTCCTGTGAAGAATGGATCCGTTTGGTACCCGTGGGTGAATAGGCCTGTCAGTAGCGGGCTTGTCTGGGCGAGTAGTATCGCGTGGATCTGGGCAGTGGGGCGGGTCAGTGCGTCGGCGATGTTCGAGGCTCCCTTTTTGTAAGTGACCGTGTAGTGAAAGTTGGACTCGAGGAAGTCGAGCCAGCGAATCTGTCGTGGGTTGAAGTGTGGCTGTGCGCGAAGGTACTATAGTGATTTATGGTCTGTCCGTACTGTCACGTCCGCGCCAGTCAAGTAACAGCGCCATATTTTGAACGCGTGCACGATCGCAAGCATTTCGCGGTCGTGTATCGGGTAATTTTTCTCGGGCGGATGCAGCTTTCGTGACTCGTATGCGATAGGCTGTAGGCCATTGCCGAAATCCTGTAGCAGTACGGCTCCGATGGCGATATCGCTTGCGTCGGTAACTACTTCGAATGGGCGGTGTGGGTCGGCGATGCGCAGGACGGGGGGTGAACAGAGAACATTTTTCAGGGCAGAGAAGGCAGCATGCTCTTTCTCCCCCCACGTAAAAACGACCTCCTTTTGCAGCAAATCCGTTAGTGGGGCAGCTAACCGTGCCATATCGGGGACGAACCGGCGCACATAATTAACGAACCCTAAAAAGCTCTGCAACTCCGTGATGTTCGTCGGGGGATGCCACGCTTTTACCGTATCCAGCTTCTTTGGGTCGATTTCAACTCCAGCCTCCGAAATAACGTGCCCCAAAAATTCTAACCTATCCTGGAAGAACTCGCACTTGGAACCCTTGGTCAGTAATATGTGCTCGTCTAAAACCTTAAACACTGCTTCCAGATCTGCTAAGTGCTGCTGCTTATCCCGACTGTACACTAGGATGTCGTCGAGGTAAACTATTACACATTTATCTAAGAGCGGCCTAAATGCCTCGTTCATGGTCATCTGAAAAGTCGCCGGTGCGTTGGTCAGCCCGAATGGCATCACGGTGTACTCGAACGACCCGTACCTAGTCCTGAAAGCTGTTTTGGCGCAGTCCGATGGTTCGACCCTAATCTGATGGTAACCTCCCCGTAAATCTATTTTCGAAAAAACCCGTGCTGTTCGCAGTTGGTCGATCAGTTCGTCGGCGCGGGGAATGGGGTACCGCGACTTGACTGTTACCCTGTTCAGTGCTCTGTAGTCGATACACATGCGAAAACCCCCGTCTTTTTTCGGCGTGAATAGTATCGGTGCGGCGAACGGTGACGAGCTCGGTCTGATGAATTTTTTCTCTAACAGGTAATCTAACTGCTTCCTTAGTTCGTCGAGCTCGAGCTGTGTCAGTCTGAACTGGCGCTGTACGGTTGGCTGTGCCCCCGGTTCTAATTCGATTCGGTGGTCATGTGCTCGCTGAGGTGGCAGTCCTTCCGGTAAGTCGTCGGGAAAAATCCCGGGGTATCGTTTCAACAGTTCCTGTAGTTCGGGCGGTACTGCTGCCAGCAGTTTCTTGAAATCACTCGGCTGCTCTTCTCCCTCTACTACTGGGATGTCTACTGCGTACACGTCAGCTCCAGCAGCGACAGCCCGTTTCATTGTGACGGCGTTGACGTGTACCGTTGAAGACTCGGGCGACTGCCAGCGAGGTAGCTCGACCCAGTTACCACTACTTCGCACGGTGCAGCTACCCGTCGTCCAGTCAATTCGCGGGTTATACCGTCGCAGCCAATCACGTCCCAGTAAAATATCGTGCCCATCCAGTGTCGTTGCGAGCATTTCCTGTGTAAACCCGAAATTCCCCCCGCAGCGGACTTTGACTCTCTCTACCTTTTCCCGTATGGCCAGTGGCGTGCCGTCGACTAAGCGTGCGTCTATCTCCGGTAGGCAACGGCTAAGTGTCAGTTGTAGTTTTCGTGCGCGGTATTAACTAAACGGTGGCTTGCTCCTCCGTCGATAAAAATCTTCACTGCTGCTCCCTGTATTTTCCCGTGGATCAGTACTGGGCAATCCGTCGCTGTACCCTCCTACTGGGCAATTCGTCCGAGTCCGATCGATAGCATGAATCGTTACTGTGACTCGGTGAAGGTCGGTGGGGTTGGGCGAGCAGGCAGTCTCGTTAGTAGTTGGCCCGATTCCTACTGACTGCTGGCATTTCCCTGACTTGGAGACTCCCTCCCCTGCTCTGCTCTGTGGCGCCTTAG